CTATTCCCTGAAGGGAGAATCATCCAAAGGCAAGGAATGGACCCTTCTTTTGTTCAGCTATGTGATTCAGTCTGAGTCCATTCCCCTTACTGCTGAGGGAGAAAAATCAAATCCAAGCCCCTCAATACCTATGAAATAAAAGTTATTACATGTGATAAGACAGACAAAATGAGTTTTTAATGTGGATTTTGTTTTTGAAATCAATTAACATGCTTTCATAAAGTGCAGAACAAAAATGTTTTTGACTTAAATCTTCATTTCTACAGCCCAGCTTCCCTGCCTCCCCTATAAAAAGAGCTCTGTTTGCTAACTACAAGATGTATCTGGATTTTGGTGCCTATAGATTTTTGAGGAAGGGCATGAATAGCACTGATATTTTAGCAAAACCATCTTGCTTCCTTCAGTAAAGACTAGGAGAATGAGTCATTGAAAAGGGAGAACATGTGCTTGTGTGTATTTGTATGTGGGGAGTTGGGGATGGATTTCTTTCTCCACAGAGGAAGGGGAAAACGGGATATAGTCAACAGACCTGGTGGTGTGCATTTTCATGAAGGAGCATGTGTTACATCCCTTCCAGCTTAGCGTGTCAGCATACTGAATGAGAGACTCCTGTGGGCGTGCTGGGGGAAAAGGAGGTTATACTTTGGGGCCCAATAGAGGGGGAGACAGAAGAAACTAATAGGATAGAATTTATCAGACCTGGGATCTCATAGTCTTACAAGAAAAAAAGAATTCTGGGGGTGGGAGGTTTAGGACAGAAAAGCTACATTCTAAAAATAGGAGTTGTGCAAGCCAGTGACCTGGGGTGCTATAAATGGTAAGAAGGTGTAGTAGAATGGCTTTTTTGCTTCTCCAGAGAATATTTTGAATTGTTCCTTCAAGGAAAGGAAGGAAAAGGATTACCTGGCCACCAAAAGATGAGCTAGATGAGAATCCAAGATAGGCAAAGAAAAAGAAAGTTTAGATCTATAATATCAGCAATCTTTTATATAGCATTTGATAATTTACAAAATGCAACACACATATTAACTCATTTTATCCTCACAACCACCTGATGAGACAGGCAATACAGGTATTATTATTATCTCTGTTTTTTAGATATGAGAAAACTTAGGCTTAGGATGAAAAAGTAATTATCTAGGCTCACAGAAATTATGATTCAAACCCAAGTTGACTGACTGTAAATCCTGTAATCCTTTCTCTTTGCCACAGCTGCCTCCCTTCCCTGGGTCACAGGAAGCACCCAATATCCCTTGCTCAGAGGCTTGTTTAGTGCTAAAAAGGAAGGTGTGTATTCATTCAGATTAATATTAAATGTGGTTTGGTTTTTGAGTTTTTGGTTTTTTTTTTTTTGTGTGTGGGAAGTGTGGGATGGTGGCAGGGAGAGGAGAGACATCTAAAAAGATAAGGCAGGTGTCTGTGTTCCTCCCTAATGCAATTACCTCAGTTCAAGATAAGCAGCAGGGAAGAAGTTCTGTGTATATCAGGGGCCATTTAGAAGATGCTTGGCCCCTGTCACATTGTGGAGGGGCTAACCTTAAGAGAATTGCTCCTGCTCAAGTCAACAAATATTTGTTAAACTTCTGCTATGTGCAAGACAGTATGGCCAGTTCTATGGATACAAAGATGAAATAAGACTATCCCTCAATGAGTTTATAATCTAAAGAGAACTAAGACTATCAGTAACCTCAGTTTTTCCAAAAGTGATGGGGGGGGGGTCAAATTAATTCATCAATACCTGCCACTTCCCAACTCAGATGAATGGAAATGACTTCTATTTCCTGCTATAAATCAATGACAGTCTGGAGCCACTTGAAGCTCTTTCACATACAACCTTCTGCTCTTAAAGACTGCTAATTTCTGTATTTGAATATTTAGAGCATGCAGTAGTCAAACAGCTCTTTGGGTTAACAGTGACTGCAAGTGAGTCCACAGGCACAAAGCTGTAGCAATGCTCTAAGTTCCTTTGTCCCCACAGCCACCCCATGGCCTACCCCAAATTGAAGGTTTAATTATTCATTCTCTTCTCATCTCTTTTTTGACTTTTGAAATAGTTCTGAAGGATGCAGTCATCTTTTATCTTAACTTCTCTAAACCATATTGGTTTCTGTCATCTCTCATCCAGACATCTGTCTCATTCCCAACCATCCTCCTGTGGTCTATTAGCCTTGTGAAATTCTTGGACAATGTCCATATTAATTTTCTACTTGAAAGAACACAAACTGAATACCGATTAGGACCAGGATGATGGTGGTTGAGGTTGGGAGATTGTTCATCTCACTGAATAGCAATTAGCTCAAGGAATAGAACAGTGACATGTCTGGTTCTTACATCTAGCCAGGCTGCTGAGACTAAGATAGGAAACACCATTCCTTGGGTTGCCGTTAAACATGTCTTGAAAAGAAGCTGTCAATTCTTGTTCTTTTGAGAAACGGTACAGACACAGTTGTTTCTACCAAAGATCTTCAGCTTTTAGAGTGATTATTAGGGATGGTATTTAATATGTTACTGGAGAGAGATTCTGAAAAATTATCTATATGATGCTCTCTATAAGCTGTAGAGGGAAAAGATGAATTGGTTAAATATTAAAGTGGAAGTACAGCATACTAGAAATAAGTAGAAAAAAGGAAAATTTCTAAATAAATAAGATTAATTTGCTAAGGTACTTTGTTGAATATATTCAAGAAATACATGTTTATGGATAGTCAAAGGGATATAAGAAAGCTGATCTCTTAAGCACCTGGTTTCATTAGAGGTTATTGACTTGATGATAATCCAACTTTTAATAGCAGAATCTGCTGCTTGCAGGTGAGGCAAATACTCCTAAATTAAGAAATAATTTGGGAACTGAAAAAAGGAGGAAAATTTTTCTTTTTCAATCTAGGGAGAAATTTGAGAAGGTAAATACTAGGTGGTCTGCTTGAAGGCAGGGACAATACTTTATTTTTATTTCTATTCCTATACAGCCTATCACGATGCTTTGAGCTGATGTTACCTACTGATGTTAGGAAGCAGTTGACCAAGAATACAACCAGGGCAAATAATCCAAAAACTTGGGAATTCTAAGGTCTTCAATGTTGGGATATAGAAAAATTATAGAATTTGAGAGCTAGAACCTTAGAAGTCCAATTCAACCTTCCTCATTTTACAGACAAAGAATCCAGGGTCCAAAGTAGTTAAGTGACTTGACTAAGGTTCCATCTTTGGACAAAGCTATGCCACTTATGGACAAGCCTCTTGCTTGTGACATTAAAACATAATCATGTAAGCAGATGCTATGAAATTGAGCCATTAAATTAGAATTTGGTGAAAAGCCAAAAGAGAGACAGTTTCTAGGTATTCCTCCAGTGAGCTCATCAAATCAGAAACTAAAGTTACTACGAGTAACTGAGTATGATTTCAGGCAAGTCAATTCCTCCGCATTTTGTGTTTCAATCTTTGCAAATAAACCCTCTAGTCTATTTCAAATGGTTACTATGAAAATAACTGTATTAATAACTGTAAAGCAGACTGATGCTGCTAGTGATATCAAGTTACCAAATTCACTAAGTCTGGCTGAATGACAGGCACAGATGCCAAGGATAGCAGCGGAGTCAAAGTTCTCACATTTATGTTGATAGTACAGAACCAGGAATATTAAGTTTATCAGTTGCATGCTTGGCAGAGTATAAGAAGAAGAATTAATACAGGATGAACAATAAGCGGCAAGTGTATTAGATAATCCTGATACAGTGCTCTGCTAGAAAGGGCTACCAAAATTCTAGATGTCAACCCTACACATGTGTTATATCCCAGAGTGATTTCCAGAGTCAATTTTGTTCCATTGTTATGCTTTCACATACCCAGAGCATATCCAAATACAAGAAGACAATATCTAAGGAACAATTTTACTCATTTTAACGTACTAAGTAAGCAGCCTCAATTAGTTATCCGTCTCTTACTGGAATCAAATAAAGTTGCCCTTTATACATTTGTGGTGAATATTATGTCCTGAAATGCCTTATATGTCTGTCCTATTAATAGAGAAAATCTTGCCTGAAGAAGACTGGCTCATTAAGCAAGCCCTGGATATTACATTTTCATAATTAAAACGAGTGAAAACCTCAGTACAGCTATTGATCTTTAGGAACTTGTAGACTTTATTTTTTTACAAGTTCATTACAAGTCCTTTTTTTCCAGAAGTTCACTTTCTTGAGCTTCTGGAAGATGTAGTCTGGCACTTAGGAAGACAGTGTAATCTTAGGCAAAGATCACTGGAGGAAGGAAAAAGGTGACTTGTGTTTTAATCCTGCTTCTACCTCTATGTTAGTTTTCTGCTAGTGATGATAATTATTCCAGAGATAAAAGAATGGGAAGTATTCCGGGAGGGTGTACATTTTTGCTATGAATTTTATTTTATGTTCTACTTGGCACATTTCCTTTTTTTCTCATTTATTTCTCTAAACATCTGTAGATAAGGGATAGGGAACTGACACACAGTGTAGTACTGCCCTATGGTAGGCTCTGCTATGAAGCTACAAAACCAATGAGAAATGGAATACATTAGTTTAGGAGCTCTGACATTAAATGTCAGGTCACAGCATTTACTTTTCTCTTACAGCTAACCAGTAATGTTTCTTGAACACTAGCTGTGATAGGTGTCTATAAAAAGCATACGTTTTCCTTATATGCCTAATATCAAATGACTTTTTCCCAGGTGCCGCACCTAGGGCACAAAAGAAAGCTCTCCAGATGAGGATGACTTGTGTGGAAGTGGTGAAGGCAGAAACCAAACACATCTGTCTCAGCATGAGCTTTATTCCCACTTTCTCCCAACAACAGAGGGGCTCTTAAAGCTCTGTCTATTCAACTCTTCTTAGGACTTCTTCCCTTCAGCTTTCCCTAATTTCATATACAAATAACAAAGTGAGGCTAAGGTAGATGAGAGATTTTTTTTTTCCATTATGGCACTAACCTATAATGCTTGGCATTTGCCAGTCATGTTTTTGCAGAAATGTTACCTGAAATGACAGCAATTTTCCGAGCACCATGCTCTTGTTTAGCTATCCTTTCTGCCTCTTCCATGAGTAGCATGCCAAATCCCTATGAGCGGGACAAAAAAAGGAAAAAGAAAGTAATGTTCACAAATAGGAAGGCTGTAATTTAGAGACTAGGTTAGAGACTGCTTTAGTCTGTTGAAACAAGAGTGAAAAAAGCTTTCTTTATAAAGTAAGGAAAGAATAATCATTCAACTATTTGAGAAGAGCTCTGAGGCTGACTGGTAACAAAGGCATTAATTTTTATAGTAAAAGTACCATTAAAAGACCCTTCTCAGATGATGGGAACTAATCATCGTGAGAAGGAAATTTCCTTTCAACATCTGTTCCTCTTTTAGGGAGGTGCAGGAAGATATAAGCTGAAAAGCCCTGATTCACTCAACTTGTGGGCAGTGGAAGCCTTGGGTAGCTATTCACAAACTTTTTAGAACATTTGCAATTCCTAACAGTTATAAGAAATGAGGCAATAATCTTCAACTACCAACTTTTGTACACACCATACAACTGCGAACAGCTGGTTTTTACCAATTAGCTCCTAAAGCATTTTTCTCTTTTTGGTTTCTACCATATATTATCCTGCCTAAAACCCAGGGAGATGAAAAAAAAAAATTATTTCATTTAGGAAAAAGAAAAAAGCTCGGAACAATTAAATAAATGAGGAATCCTCTGTCACTTTATATCCCTGTCCTCCTTTTTATTTCCCCACTTCTCTTTCTCCCCCTTTCCACCTTCCTCTCTTGCTTTCCCAGTTAGGGTGCTTTTCTTAATCAGAAACCAAATGGGAAAAGGTTAGAGAGATACCTGATGCTGAAATTTTGCAGGGTCACGACTGCTTACAGGAACTACACTCCCATATACATGTAGTTCTCGGACTATGGAAACACCTCCTTTCAACTCGGGCCGAAATGATTCTTCTGAACACTTCCGCAAACGTAAAAGGCCAATCAAAATGTCCTGCTCGGGGTCTTCATATGACAGAAAGGTCTCCCAGCCACCGTTTGCCACATAATCTCTTCTAACTAATTCAACCTGTTTGAAGAAAAAAGAAGAGAATATTTATTTTGGAAAGTTGATTTAAAAAAAAAATTAACTTATATAGGCTAATTTTCATTAAAAAACCCCCATTATTATTGTTCTTATTTTTAACATATCTATTTGTGAAGTGGAATTCAGTCCAGAAGACCATGTCGAAGCCTGAGGTGAGCCTGTTTCTGGCCACGCGTGCCCACGGGGCTTGTATTGTCGTAACCATTTGATAATGAAAATCTTTGAATTGTATACAGACCTGGAAGAACTGATCACCAAGGCTGCAGGTGCTGAGGCAGGACTGAGCAGACTTATAACGCATTCCTTTATTACTCTTTTTCTTTCTGGCTGGCTTCCAGTTGGTTTATGAAGAGCCAGCAACCCTCCCTCCCACTTGGCCATGGTGACTATGAGCATGCAGCCACCTCTGTTTCTCTGTGTTTGTTCCTTCCTAATCTTAAATGAATACGTATTCTGAGATGGAAGTGGCCAGGAGACCTTGTGAGTTCAGGAGATCCAGAGATGCCATCAGAGTCCCCCGTCGCATATGGGACTGAATGGCAGCAGCAGTAGTGGCCAATATAGTGGTGAATGTTATTGCCCAGTTGGGGCAGGGGGAGGGCAGCTACAGACCGAGTACTGAAATACTCTAATGATGTTGTTGTTTGGTCATTTCAGTTGTGTTTTACTCTTGTGACCCCCTATTTGGGTTTTTCTTGGAACAGATATTGAAGGAGTTCGCCATTTCTTTCTCTAGCTCATTTTATAAATGAGAAACTGAGGCAAACACGTGCCCAGGGTCACACAGCTAGTAAGTGTCTGAGGCCAGTTTTGAACACAGGAAGATGAGTCTTCCTGACTCCAGGCCCAGTGCTTTATCTATTGTACCACCTAGCTTCTCCCATTCTAATGATGGACATTTGCTTTTGAATGAAGGTCTAACTAGAGTTTAGAACATCTTCTTCTCAGGATAAGCTCCAGGTAAAAATTCACACTAGTGTGAGCTGGCTTTTTTGAATCACTGGCCTCCCTTCTGGCAATTCATAGTAGTACTACCCTCTTCCTCCAATACCTTTCAGGTGTCCAAATATCAGTCATATATGCCTTACTGTGAATTGTGGAATGAAATTGTGCCTTCGGTCAACTATATTCAGACATCAACCAGCAGATAGGGGAGGCACTTTGAAGAACAGGGTTTTGGTTTGTTTTGGTGAGAACAGTGTCCCTGCAATTATGTTCCATAGGCTGTTGCTTACCCCCTCTTTAACCTGCTCATATTTTCATAGATATATATTACATAAAAGGAAAACTCATAATAATATGTAGTTTATGCATAAAAATATATTTATTCACATAGATATAGTGGTCATGGCAAATATCCATTAACATTTAGCAAACTGGTAGATTATACTTACATGGATTCTGCAGAACCACAGGATTTTAGAAGTTTAGAACTAGGAGTTTCTGAGATTCTTTAGCCCAATTCACAGAAGAGGAAAGAGAACCAAAGAGGTCAAGTGACAAGCTCTGAGGCTTATATATCAACCTAATGTTAGTTAATGTAACTAATGGGTACAGGTTATTAGAAGGTGAAGGTAAGCCTAGCAAAGTGATTAATTGTAGATAAGGTTTATACATACTATTTTTCAGGGCCTTGGTGAGGACAAATCTGTCCAATAAACAAATGATTAGGTTAAGAGTAGAAATGTCAATACAGGCACCATCTATTGGTTTTCTGATCACTGACAAAGCTGAACTCTAACAATGACAGATGTACAGACACCCATATATACACACGGACACACTCATACACCAGAGATAATGTCAAAGGTAGAAGAGATCTCATTAGACATTTGTCAGTCATAACCACAGTTGCAATTGCCAATGAGGCCGCTAGGTGGTGCAATAGATAGAGCACTGGGCCTGAAGTCAGGAAGTCCTGAGTTCAAATGTAATCTCAGACACTTATCAGCTGTGTGACTTTGGGTAAATCACTCTGCCTTAATCCACTGGAGAAGGAAATGGCAAACCTCTCATACTAGAGAGGCAAACATACTAGTTTGCCAAGAAAATCCCATGGATAGTATGTCCATGGGGTCAAGAAGAGTTGGGCATGACTGAATAATAACAACAACAAAAATAATGACAGAAGAATGCCTTTTGTGATACAACAATCCTGACAAATGATCATCACTTGGGTGACTCCAATTCTTAGGATGTTTTCCTGAAATCAAGCCCAAATTGATTGCTTTGAGACTTCTAATCACTGTTCCTAGCACTGCCTTTTGAGATGAAAGAGAGCAAGTATATCCCCTTTTCCAACATGACACCCCTTCAAATACTCAAAGAGAACTATCATGTCTCCCTTGAGTCTTCTCTATGCTAAAGATACTTAATTTTTTCAACAGTCCTCATATGACATGAATATCAAGCTCTTCACTACTCTGGCTATCATGTGCTTCCTAAACTGTAGTGCCCAGAATGGAACACAGTGATCCTATTGTGGCCTGAATACTGCAGAGATTACCTGTCTGAGAATTATGCCCATAGCAGGGTGGCCCAGGACTTCATTATGTCTCTGACCCTTGACTCATAGTGAGCCTTTAGTAAAATGGAATCCTCGAGGTTTTTTTCCGACAAAATGCTACCCAATCACACATCCCACATTCTATCTAATTTGGGCAGCTAAGTAGCACAGGGGATAGAGCACCAGGGCTAGAGTCAGGAAGACCTGAGTTCAAAACCAGCCTGAGATACTTACTAGCTGTGTGACCCAGGGCAAGTCACCTAACCCTCTTTTCATCAGTTTCCTTATCTGTAAAATGAGCTGGAGAAGAAAGGAAATGGCAAACCACTCCAGTATCTTTGCCAAGAAAACCCCAAATGGGGTCAGGGAGAGTGGATACTGTCAAAAAACTGAATAACAACAACATTTAATTTGCAAGGTAAAAAGTGAAAACCTAAAGAGGTATGAAGAACAACATAAATGATTAAGTGTAAATGGTAGGTATTTATCCTGAGGAAAAGGCCTTGGGAAACACTTGATGAGGCAGGAAAAAAAGAATACAGGGACTAGAGTCAAAAGACCTGGGTCCATTCCTAGCTCCCTGTTTAGTAGCTGTGTGACACTAGCCAAGTGATTTCACCTCTCTGAGACTCAATTTCCCCATTTTTGAAATGAAGAGTTGGATGAGATAATCTCTATCAAGCAATCAGCAAGTAGTTATTAAATGTCTACTCTGTGCCAGGCGCTGTGCTAAGTTCTGAGGATACAAATACAAAAGTGGGACAGTTTTTGCCATCACAGAATTTATATTTCACTAGGAGGATATTTGTTTGGTCACTCAGTGAGTGTTTACTAAATATGCTAGGCACTGTGTTGGATAGCATGTTGGGTATACAAAAAAAGACCAAAAAAAAAAAAAAGTCCCTGGACTCAAAGAGGGCATATTCTAATAGAGAAGAGGGTAGGGGGGGAGATTGGGAGTAGTAAGAAGGTAAGAGAAAGAGACATAACCTCCTTAAGGTTTTACTTTTTGGTTGTTTATACTTTTCATTTGGTGAACTCATCAGCTCCCATGGATCCAACTCTCTTTGTCCAGCCCTAACCTCTCTCCTGATCACCAGCTTCTTATCACTAACTGCCTATTGGGCATCTCACATTGAATATCTCATAGATATCTTAAATTGAACACATCCAAAACTGAACTCATTATCTTTATCCCACAAACCTCCCCTCTTCCTAACTTCCCTATCACTGCTGAACAGTACTACCATCCTGCCAGTCATCCAGGCTCACACCCTAGGTAGAGGTCATTCTCATCTCATCACTCAGAACTCCCATACCCAATCTTGTGCCAAATCCCCTTTTCTACCTTTGCGACATCTTTTCTATATGCCCCTCCACCCCCACCTTCCTCTGACCTTGCTGTCACCCAGGTGCAGGCCCTCATCACCTCATGCCTGGACTACTATAATAGCCCGCTGGTGGGTCTGCCTGCCTTAAGTCTCTCCCCACTCCAGTTCATCCTCCTCTCAGGTGTCAAATCGATCTTCCTAAAGTACAAATCTGACTGTGTCACTTTCCTATTCAACAAACTCTTGTGGCTCTCTATTACATTCATTTGTATTCTATTACATTCATGACATAATACATTTGTATTACATCAAATACAAAACCAGCTTGCTTTCAAAACCCTTCAGAACTTAGCTCCTTCCTTCCTTCCTATCTTATTCCTTATCCCCTTCCACATACTGCACAATCCAGTGACACAGTCGTCCTTGTTATTTCTCATAAAAGATGCACCATCTCCCAAATCCAGGAATTTTCAATGGTTGTCCCCCATGACTAGAATTCCCTTCCTCCTCATTTCCACCTCCTGGCTTCCTTCAAGTCTCAGCCAAAGTCTCACCTTCTGCAAGAAGCCTTTCCCAGTCTTCCTTAATCTTAGTGTCTTCCCTCTGAGATTATCCACAATTTATCCTGTATCTATTGGCATGTTGTCTTCCCCAGTAGACTGTAAGATCCTTGAGAGCATGGACTGTTTTTTGCCTCGCTTTGTATCCCCAGTACACAGGAGGTGCTAAATAAATGCTCATTGACTTCTTGGAAAATATGACATTAGGCAAAACATTGTTTACAGGGAACATCTACTTCCACAGAAGGAATATGTCATAGATGGGAGACTGAATGAATGACAAATACAGTGGAAGTATTAAACTTTATGGGAAGAGGTTTGGTTAAACTATATTAATGAAGATACTGAGAAATGATGTTGGTTGGGATACTATTATGTGGAACATGCTAGTGTACTACTGCAACATTAAAATTAATAAGAAAAAAAGCTTTGTGTACAGTTTGACCTTTGCGAACTTTAAGAAAAAGGACAGTACAAAGTATTTTTAAAAAATGTTTAATGAAAGTTTGTTCCCAGAACCAATGTGGAAATCTGCTTTGCTCTTTGCAGTCAGGTCATTGATTAGTTTGAATAAAGGTCAAAAAT